ATTCTGTAGGGTGTTAAGGGATTTTGGATAAAAGGTCATATTTAACGTAAATAAAACATTCTTAAGTAAGTGTAATACATACTCCAAGTATTGAAATACACGCCATCGTGTTGGGATTCAATATTTCGACATTAATTATGTCATCACCAGGAATGTAAAAAATATCCATATTAGCAAGCTTATATGCACTAGTACCAAAAGTGTTTAACCAATCAAAACATTACCTCTAGTAGGTGACATAGCAGTGATTTAAACAAAAGATCAAAGCATTCTTACTCTAATGATCAAAGATACCTACAAAAACAAAGAAAGCTCTTTTGAAGCTCTGAGCCCATTGTTAAGCAAGGGGGTAGTCTACGTATAGCGAACGCTTCTTTAAACAATAGGATAGACCAGTTTCGGGAGCTGTCAATAATGTTAGTACTAGAAAATATTAAACCTAACATATTACTTACATTACAGACGACATTATCATTTTCAAGTATACCCTGTAATACTAAAACATATTGGAATGCCTCACAGTTTTTAACTTGATCAAATATAACACTATCAGATCGTGAAGTATGTTCTTTAAGTCTAGTTAAGCACCTATCTGTCTTACCAATATAATCACTATTGCAGCCTGGACATTTAAAATGATAGACAACAGAACTTCTGTACTCCTTAGGGGTACGGGTTTGATCCTTAGTAGATATAAAATGAGAAACATTTTTATACTGCCCTAAAGTTATGAATTTTACCTCTTTAATTAAGTGTTTCTTTACCTTATTTAAACATCTACGTAAAATGAACTCACCTGGTTTTCCTAGATAAAGCAATCTAACCCAAATCTTAATCAAGCTATCATCAGTAGTACATTTAGGTTCATTTAATTTCTTAAGTACATTATTAACAACTTTTAAAGGGTACCCATTCCAAGACAAAACATTCTTTTCATTAATTAAAAAAAAAATCCGGAGCTAGCCAGGATTGAACCAGGGATCTTCAGCACAAGAAGCAGGGACAAAACTCAGCCAACTATTCAGCTGCAATTATATACGCTCACTAACAGATCTCCGGTTGGCTGTGATGGTGTAACCCAATACTTCGGTTTGGGTGCTAGATTGGTGTTTATTGTTTTGTTTTGTTTTTCTTTTTTTTTTTTCTGGCTTTTTTCTTTGTTTTCTTTACTTCAATATTGTCTAGCGCACAGAAACCTCGTTTATTTGCGCCATATAAATCCATTCATTATTATTATTATTATTATTATTATTATTATTATTATTATTATTATTATTATTATTATTATTATTATTATTATTATATAAAGCTGATTTTACTATGACACAAAAGGCTTATTTGACAAAAAAAACACCAAAAGATGAGGTTCGGAGTGGGTAATGAGATGATTTATGATTCCTGAATTTAGTGTCAACCGTCAGTGTCATCTTTCTTACAGACCACCCTTTTTGCCGCTTTTATCCCTAGTTTGTAAATAAAATTTCTTGTAAAACATGCTTTTTGTGTCAGTTGTACCAGGGAGTTATTCTAAATAACAACTCCCTGGTTGTACAACTCATGTACGTACATTTTTTTTTCTCTAATGAGATGATTTATGATTCCTGAATTTAGTGTCAAACGTCAGTGTCATCTTTCTTACAGAATGAAAAACAAGGACATTTACCGTTTTTGTGACGATAGGGTAGCTAAATTCAAAAGTAAAATGGTTAACATGATCCAATTGAGCTCAAATTTACCAGGAATGACCTGACTGGGTTCATGTTCTATGTAGGCCTATATATGATTATGAACAACATATTTTCCTATTCGAGCAATGTTATTTGTATTATATATGGGGTATGTGGGGGGTGGAGGGGCGCAAGCCCTCCAAAAATTACACCCTACTCAAAAAATCACTTGGAAGTGATAACCTAAAATCACCTTATTTTGCCGGTTAGCCCCCTCAACTTGTCATCGAGTTCCCCCCCCCCCCTTTCTTCACCTTCGCGCCCCCATCAGAACCCCCATTTCAAGACTTCTGGATACGCCACTGCCTATAAGTGTGGCTTATCCTTTTTTGTAAATCCCGTGTCTCAGTTTAGAACTACATATAAACAAAAATATATCAGTTTGCATTGACGAGGCAGCTAGATTGTGCAGTGGAACACTCTTCCTCCTAGTGCTCGTGCTGATTTTTCGTCATTTTCTGTTAAACGGTCTGCTGCTTTATCTTTTATTAAAAGCTGGGAGCCCTCTTGCTAATTTTGATTTTACTTCATGCTCTTTGTATTTTTCATGCAGGCCTATGTATTAATAGAATTTATCATTTGACTTGGAGATCAGAGTGGACCACCAACGGTGTTGGGCCCAGTGTCTTGCTCTGGACATGCATTTTCATCCTTGCATATATTTTATTTATTTTTTCATTATTTATTTAGGTACACAATACATGTGCCAAAGATTGTCAATAGCGAATATACTTGTAGGTGACAATCCCTTACACAAGACAAACATACAGACACGATGCTTTACACAAACCATGCACAAACTAAATCTCAATTTGAGCTATGCTATGTTCGCGAGCGGAGATGTGCGTCCTTTTGTTGAATTGCTTTGGTCGCAAAAAAAAAATACAAACAGGCATATGTAAAAAAGTTTGGATATAATGCCTAATATTAGTGGTTACAATTTTGTAAAATTTTGTTGAATATATAATGTAATGCATCTTAACAAAATAAATGTTTAGACTCCTGCACCAGTCCGCTTGGAATTCAAGATGGAACCATTCCTGATAACCAACTGACAGCTTCAAGTCGATATAACAATGAACACAAGCCTCACCGCGCTAGACTACACTCAACAAAAGCCTGGGCAGCACGCAGCAACGACGGAAATCAGTGGATACAAGCTGATATTGGTGCCTTGACTGAAATAACTGGAGTAATCACACAAGGCCACTACAGTTATAATGAATGGGTGAAATCTTATGAAGTTCTTTACAGTGTTGATGGCAGTGACTTTAACACAATAAGTACAGTGAGTTTTTTTTAACACTTTTAACTTTGTTATTATTCACATGCATTGGCGGCGGGGGAGGGGGATTAAACCCCCATCGGTCTGGTGAAGCCCCCCCCCCCATCGGCCAAAGCTCGTCTGGCAGTCGGCCCAAAAAAAAAAAAAAAAAAAAAAAACCTAGTTTTCCCATCCCAGCCATTTCCGACCATCTAAAAGCCCCAATTAAAAA